CACTTCTAGAAAGGGTGTGCAGGTGCAATCAGAGGGATAGTTTGTTTAATGTTTTAATCATGAAGTATGAACTGAAATGGCTCATTCTCCTTCTCTGCCAGTAACTGGGAAGTCACCAAAGAGGGGCAAGGAATTGAAGTTAGGTTAAGTGGCATTTGTGTTAACTGAAATTTAAAACCATATTTGTACATATTCGCTGTTAAGGCTTGGAAACTTATTTTTGTAACAAAAGTGCCTGATTTTCAATATGCCCAGGGAATAATACTCCTCTCTAAGAAGGGTCATGCTGTTACAGGTATTTTTCAGGCAACAGCTACCCTTTACATCATGACACAGGTAATATGGAGTTTAGCAAACACAGCTAAAAAGCATTACACTTTAAAAAAAAAAAAAGAAGACTGTTACCCATCAGCTTTCTAAGGCAAGATGAAAATGAAGGCTTTGTGTGACTGGTAGCTGGAGTAATGCCCTATAAAATGATACTATTCTTTTTTAAATTATTTGTCTTTAGATTAAAGATATTTTGGAAGAAAAGCAGAGGAGTCTCAATTTTGAAGAAATGGAAGACTGGGCATCAAAAAATACCATTAAAATGAACCCTTTTACAGTAAACAAGATGCCAAATTCAGTTGCTAATTTACCTCTTAGATTTGGAAGGAATTATCCAGAAGAAAGAAGCATTAAACCATTTGCTAATTTGCCCCTGAGATTTGGAAGAGCTTTTGGAGACAACATACCTAATCATGCTCCAAAGGTATCACACAGGCTTGGGAGATCTCCACTTGTTAGAAGTTCCAGTCAATCACTTCTAAATTTGCCACAGAGATTTGGGAAGTCATTGACTGTCAATCAGGAATCTGAACCAGGTAATACTACACAGTGTTCACGCCATATATTAAAATGCATGTTAAATCATAGGTTAGTGATGATCAAATACAGCTAGAATTCCTCAAGGAATATTCCTAAACATTTCAACGTAAGTTCAATTCGCCAAAAGAACGATTTGCAGTTCATCAAATCAAAAAGTTTCATCAAAAGAATGAATAAAGAATCTCTTCATAAAATCTTTTCTAATGAAAAGTCACCAAATAGCCAAATCTGAAAATGTTCATATGACAGGATAATGTTTGCTGCTTTTTTAGATCAGGTTCCATTTTGAAAATTTATAGCTTTGGTGAAAAAAATTCAAAATCATTAAAATATCCCATTTCAGCACTATAAAATGACAAACTTACCTAAAAATTACTCTTCCATTTTCTAAATGTATGCAAATTAGAGTTAAAAAAAGAGACAAAATACCAAGCTGAATAGCAGCATTTTGAAAATGTTTTTTTCTCACTCAAGCTATTTTTTTCCTAGATCGTCTTACAGAGATAATATTTGGAATTTTGATTGTTCATTCCAAGTTAAGATGAAAAATTTTTTTTTGACTTCTTAGAATTTTTTTCAGGACAGGAAAGCTATTTCCTGCCCATTACTAAGAATAATTGAAACCAGCTCTTCAATAACCATCCTTCTTATCAGAATTGTTGCCTTGTTGGAACTGTCCATTTGTCTTGTAACCAAGTTTCATTTGGCTACCCCTGACTTGCATCTGACACATGTGTAGAGTAGAAGTTCAGGCCAGGAAACATAATTGATATATCAAAAGCCAAGATTTTTTTCTTATTTAATTTGATTCCTTTCATTCCTTTCTCCCTGTCTCACCTAATTATAACAGATTTTGTTTTATTTGTCTGCTATTTTTAGGGATATGAATTCTAACAGTCACAATAATACTGGGATGAAATTATGAAGATGAAATCTGAAAGACTTGGAAAAGCTGCAATGTGTGTTCAAAACCAAAAGTCATGAAAAGGAAATGTGAACCGAAATGTAAACCTGTCTTCATGTTATGAATAATATATTAATTATGTACAAACCTTTGACATATAAGGCAATGATAATTGTAGTGATTATTGTAGTGCTTTACTTCAGTGGCAGTGTAATATAAATTCTATTTACTTCTGTGTAACTCATATCCTGTTGGTTGTAAAACCTAATTTCAGAACAATGGCTGCATAATTGAAAGCATTTTAAGCAAAAGAAGCATA